ACTATGGAAGTGTCTACACTTAAATTTCTCTCCCACCGACATAACTGCCCACCTACACCGACTTAATAACTCCACCTCCACAAGAGACGTAGAGTCAAGGTTGATGGAGTTAGGTCGATGCAGTGTCAGTGTAGACACTGTGTTGCTTATGTCAACTGTTACTGGATTTCAGGAGCCTTCCCACAATGCCCCACACTGACAGTGCAATTGATACACACTCTCCTGGTGAGGACACACATCACCAATTCAAGGAGCAAAGTGTAGACACACACAAGTGATGTAATTACTGGGGTGGCAGTATGTTAGGTCGACTTAATTTTGTAGTGCAAACATGGCCTAAGGGTATGTCTATACTAGAAACACTTCAGCTGCGCCGCTATAGTGTAGGTGCTTACTACAGCGACGGAAGACGCCTTCCATCACTGTAGTAAATCCACCTCTCTGAGAGTCAGTAGCTAGGTCAACAGAAGAATTCTTCCATTGATGTAGCAGTATCTACACAGGGGTTAGGTCGACTTAATTACATCGTACAAGGGGTGATATTTTTCACAGCCCTGAGCAATGTAGTTAAGCCGATCTAACTTTGTAGTGTAGACCAGCCCTAAGTCCTTGCACCAGACCTTTGCATAGTGCACATCCACACCTGGTGTGGTACATCATACTTCCCCCCACTCTCCCCCTGGCCTGCTGCCCTCCAACCTGTGGAGGGTGGGGGGAGAACAGTGTTCTGCAGGTGAGTTAATAGCCACTGCAGGGGAGAGACAGAACACCTTATGTCCTGAGCTGGCCTGCAAGATGGGCCATGATCCAGCCCTAGGCTAATCAGGATTGTGTTACCTTCTCCTCCTCCTGTTCCACAGCCTGGGAAGGAAAATTGCTCCCACCCATCCCCATAATGTTACTCAAGCTCAGGGCTGGGGAAAATATTTGCCCCTAAAAATAAAAATGTGGATGTCGCCTAGAGTTAACCTCCTATAATTAATTAAGGAGGTTATATTGCCTAGTGGCTAGAGCACTGGTCTGGGACTCGGGAGTCCTTTGTTCTATTCCTGGCTCTGCTCACTGACCTGCTGAGTGACCTTGGGCAAGTCATGTCACTGCTCTGTGCCTCAGTTTCCCCATCTGTAACATGGAGATAATAATGCTGACCTCATCTGTAAAGCCCTTTCAGTATCCCATCCCATCCCATCCCATCTCCTAGAACTGGAAGGAACCTTGAAAGGTCATCAGGTCCAGCCCCCTGCCTTCACTAGCAGGACCAAGTACTGATTTTGCCCCAGATCCTTAAGTGGCCCCCTCATGGATTGAACTCACAACCCTGGGTTTAGCAGGCCAATGCTCAAACCACTGTATGTCTAGGCTGCATTTTAAAACCCGCATCAGCGAGTCTCAGAACCGGGGTCTACAAACAGATTTAATGGACTCATGCTACTGTACTAACAACAGCTATGTAGACGTTCAAACCTGGGGAGGGTGGTGAATTTCACATCTACACAGCTGTTTTTAGCACCATAGTGTGAGCCTCATTTGTAGACCTGGGCTCTGAGACTCACCACTAAGGATTTTAAAAAGCAATGTAGACATGTTCTTTGAGACCTACTGATGAAAAGCACAGTATAAGAGCTAGGTATTATTGCTATCATTATCACATATAGTGGTCACACATGTACACCTACCATTTTTCTTATATAATACCCCAATTCAGCAAAGCACTTGCCTATAGCAAGTATAGGAAACACTGCATATATATGCAGGTTACCAGAACCAGTTATTTAAGGTCAAATTAGCAAGTTTTCAAGTGTGACCACTGTATGGTACTAAAGCTGATCATAAAAGCCACTTAAAATAAGAAACCATCCCTTTGTTTTTGTTTCTGGGCCTGCATGAGGTTGTTAATCAAATTTATGAGTTTTTGTGAAACAATTTCCTGTGTTCATTAGAGGTTACTATGAAAATGTTATCTGGGAGCTCAACTGACAATTTGAAACTAATCTCGCTTTTAATCAACAGCAGTAAAAATCTGTATTTCACTAGTGGATAGCTCATGAAGGCAAATCACTCCCATGAAAAACACTTTTAATTTTCCCTTGACTTATACCTTCCAGACTGAGATAGGAAAATAAATTTCATATTAAAATTCCTTCTTCCAGATGCAGCATTAAGACATTGAGGGTTTTTCTAAGTAATAATATTATGCACTTAGAGGCTTGATCCTGCATGCTTGTTCTACCTACTGAGGCACTTACATGGCCCTCATCACCAGAGTATCTGACCCCACCTCCCCCCTTCGCAACCATTAATGGATTTTATCTAGAGATGGTTGACATTTTTCTGGCAGAACAGTTTTCTACTGGGAAATGACATGATGGAATCAAAATATTCAGCAGGACCTTGTCGATGCTATTGAAACTTTTGACAGAAATCAGATAGGCAGATTGGCCAGCCTACCTACCTGCCAGTTCATCCACCCATCAACCTACCCAAGCTCCTAAGAACTGGAGCTAGGGTTCCCTGGGCTTCCAAGTTCCTAGCGTCTTGGTAGCTCACCTGCTAGAGGGCTGCATGGGAGGCCATGGACCTGGGACCAGATATATATATTTTTAATTCATTTTCATTCTTCGGAAATGGAATTTTTCAAAATGCTACAGAAAATTTCACATCTCCAGCTTTTCTTTCTGATTCAGAATGAGAAAAAAAATCAGAAATGCAAAATTTTCTTGGAACAGAAATCCTGGTTCCTGCCCAGCTCTAATTTCATCTTTGCAGCTGTTATCCCTTCTTTAAAGAGAGGGAACTCAGGCACAGAGAGATTAAGCAATTTGCCCAGCATCGAACAAGTAGTCTCTACTAGAGCCATGCATAGCACTAATGTCTCTAGTGCCCTCTCCAGGAGACCATCCTGCTTTGAGCACCTGATGCGCCCAGTAATGTCAACTGGAGTTTGGATGTGCAAGGAATGTGGTATTGTGCCCAAGGATCTCAAAGCACTTCGTAGACAGAAATTAACTGAACTTTACAACACTGTTGTAGAGCACAGAGCCAACCTGCAACCTTGTGGCTGGGGGCCAGTACTATCAGCAATAAATAAGGCTACGTGAGGTCATGGAAGTCATTGAATTCATGACATCCAGAGACCTCCCTGACATTCTCTGCTTCAGCCCCAGGGGCTGCAGGACTCTGGAGCTGACAGCCAGCAGGGCCCTGGTGGGGTTCCAGTGACAGGCGACAGCAGCAACAAGTGATGGGGGCCCCCTGCAAAGTTCCAAGGACAGGTGACAGACTCTTGAGGGGGCCTCCTCAGGGTTCCAGCAACAGGCAACAGCCTCGCATGGGGAAAGGGGGACACTTCGGAAGAGCGGCTGGGGGTGGCCCATTTTTGGGAAATATGGTCACCCTGCAGCTTCCAGCTGCCATGGACGGAGAGGGAACCACACAGCTCTGAGCCACCAGGGTGGGGGAAACCATGGAGATGCAGCAGCAAAAGTCACAGACAGGTCACTGCTTCCGTGAATTTTTGTTTATTGCCCGTGACCTGTCCATGACTTTTACCATGACAAAATCTTAGCCTTAGCAATAAGTGACTCCTTTAGGACAATAGAGTCAGTGAAAGGGGGCTGTGGTGAAAACTGGGATTGAAGCCCCAGTGTCATTATTTGCACTTGTGCAAACTATGTACAAAGGGCTTGATTCATTGCTGCCATAAATCAGGTGTGAAGCCCCCATGTGGCATAGGATGGTGCTAGGGGCCTTTCCACTAGGGCCAGAGTTTGCTGAGCTGCAATTACCCCCAGTGGACATGTCAGGGGTGTCCCATGGCAGCCAGGGAGCAGGAGGAGGTGTGGCCAGGACATCTCTATGCCAATTCCCCGCTGTTACAAGCCCCATAGTATCTCTGAACCCTGTTTATTCCATCCACCCCTGTGCTGGCCAATCCCACAGAGTGGGTTTAAAATGCTACTGAATCCAAATGGTAATATTTCACACTCACTTTAAACAGTGACCACACAAGGTGCAAGTCAGTGCAGAATCAGACCCTCTCTATTCCTAGCTACAGCCAGACTTCACCGGCGTGAACAAGGTGAGCAGGGCTTGGTTCGCTACTCCACAAAGTTATGATTTAAAACGCTGGGGGCCGAGTTTCCTCTCCCCTCTTTTACTTTGGTGGAAGTGCATTTACTCCCATGGAGTTACACCTGATGTACAGCAGTGTAAGCCCAGAGGAGAACAGAGCCCTTGGTGGTTTGCTCTTTGCTTCATTGACGGCCGCAATGAAACCGTTTAGCAGGCACATCTCAGCAAACGCCCTTGGCTCCTAGGAACAGAACTCCTGTACAATTGCCCAAGTAGCTCAAACGCAGGGGCAGGATCGCAAAAGCAAGCAGCGGTTCAATAACATTCAATATTAAAGACCAGAGATAGGGTTATTTTTAAATTGGCTTCATTCGTCACTGGAATCAGGGCTGCTTCGTACAACATGGGGCCCACTGCGCAGTCCCTTGTTCAAGGTTTATGACTGCAATGCTCCAGAGTCTTCCTTCACCTTCCCCAGACGCCTACATCACACACGCTGAGGGAAGGGAAAGGGGCCAGGCCTGACTTGAAGTGGGGAGGGAATAAATAGTGTGTGCTGTGTTTGTAGGCTCAGTTAAGGGAATAGTGACCAGAAGTTTCCTGTTAAACAGGAGGAGCTGGGAAACTTGCAAAATATCCCAGCCAGAGCTGTCATGAAGGAGATGTCCCTAGTTGTTATCTCAGCCAGCTTTTACTCCATAATAACACCCGGCAATGGAGCATGAGCAGTAAATCACACTGCGGTCCCCCATGCAGCTGCTTGGCAGCATTGTTTAAACTCACCCTAGCTGAAGTCAATGGATTTGCACCCCTTGACTCCTGTGGTTCATTCATCCCATGATGTTTAATGGTCTCTCTTTAGATCCATTACCCCGTATGAACTGTCCTCTGAGGTTTGTGGGGCGGTAAGCATGTCAAGCCAAATTTTGCTTTGAAATCTGATTATTTGAAAATATATCTTTACACCTTTTAAATTGTTTACATCGATTTGGCTTTCTGTCTTCTGCCTTTGCTGCACTCCGGCTTGTTTTCCCGGTGCCCATTTTTCCTCTTCGCTGCTCTCTGACAGAGTTGGGGCGGGGGGAGGCTGTTTTTCCTTTAAAGAAAGAGAGAACAAAAGTAGATCTTTCAAACCAGCTGAGAGAGAGAGACAGAGAAGCAGACAGGGAGCAGACAGCCCGACAGACTGGCTCTGCGTTCCAGCCCCTTCTTGGAATTTCTCCACCTGACTCTCTCCTGGATTGGTGAGGAGGCAAAAATAATAATAATTTTTTTAAAAAAAAAAAAGCACAAAGAGGCAGCGTCCAGAGCATCCTCGCAGGGGTGTGGCTCCCCTCCTCCCTCCTCCAATCAGAACTTTTTAGGAGGGGGCCTCCCAAGAAGATTGATGCGGGGTTGCTAGGCGATAGCAGCGTCTCCCGCGCTGGCCCGGGCTGCCAGTGCAGGTGAAAAGCAGTGGGGAGGGCAGCTAATCGCATTGCTCCGTGTGTGGCTCATGCAGTCACCCAGCAGCATGGGAGCGCGGGATGCTCCTGCTTCCGAGGACTCCTTGCCAGTCCCAGCTGCCGGGCCGCGCCGAGAGCAAGAGCCAGCTTCAAAGTTAGCCCTAGAGAAATAATCCTAACCCCCCCCCCCGCACCTCCAGCCCCCCGCCCGCGGATCTGCAGGCAGCTGGTGCTGGCTGGGACTAGGAAGCCTGCACAATCTGCCCCCCTCGCCTCCCTTCTCTTGACAGCTCCGGCCAGGCTGGTAATTTAAGGCTCTGCACCAAGCTCCCCCCAGCTGAAAGGAGGGGAAGGAAGGAGCCGAAGAAAGATGCGGCTCCGCAGCAGGGAGCCCCCGGTAGAAGCCTGGCCGAGGCGAGCCCCAGCCGGGCCGGTGCGCGGGAAGCGGGCTCAGGAGAAGCGAGGAGCAGGGGAGCGGGGGGTTAATTGGTGAGCGCAGATCCCCCACCCACCCCCAGCCTCACCCCCACCCACCCCCAGGCGCACGGGAGGCCTTGATGCGCTGCCAGCGGGACTCGGTCCAGAGCGGGGGGGACGAGGGAGACTCTCCTCTCCCCGCACAAGTTTGGACCTTCCGGGGGGTGGCGAACTCCCTCGTGGATCTTAAAGGGCACATGAGAGGGAGCGCGGAGCCCGGCAGCGATCCGGAGCCCAGGAGCAGCCGCGCACCCGCGCCGGCCGGCCGGGAGGTCCCTTCCCGCACGGTAAGGCGAGGACCGCGGCCCCGCTGCTGCTGCCGCTGCCCGGGCGCGGTTTGCGGCGCGATCCCGGGGGAAGTTAGCGGCGGGGGGAGGTGTATTTGCCTAGAGATGCGGGGATTGGCGGGCGGG